TACAACCTCAATGCATTCTTTAAAAAGCTTGGAATTATGCATAATTTGTCTTATCCTCATACACATCAGTAAAACGGTGTAGCTGAGCGTAAGCATCGCATATAGTTGAGACTGGTCTTGCTTTGCTTGCCCATGCCTTTGTTCCTTTCCGGTTCCCGAGTGATACATTTTCCACCGCATGCTTTCTCATTAACAAACTCCCTACACGACTCCGTTAGATGAAAGCACCACTTGATCTCTTGCTGAATGAAGTTCCTGATTATACATTTCTTAAAGTCTTTGGGTGTGCGTGTTGGCCACATCTTCGTCCATGTAACCAACGTAAGTTGGAGGTTCGGTCTAAACAGTGCGTGTTTCTTGGTTATATTTCTCTTCATAAAGGTTACAAGTGTCTTCATGTTCCCTCTAATCGCGTCTACATCTCACATGATGTGGTGTTTGATGAGAATATTTTTCCTTTTTCCGCACTTCCGGTCACCTTCTCCACTCCCACTTCACCTGAGAAATCTGTTTTACCTTTGCCTGGTCAATTTGTTGATGCTGCGCATACCCCCTTGTTGCTACCTAACCATGGTGCAGGTACTGGGCGCGGAGCATGCCTCGAGCTTCTAGATGAGCAGCCTCCCGCATCCCTAGGGACGTTTGCCGAGCACACTCGTGACGCCCCTTCGTCACCTGGCTTACCGACGGGACTGGCTCAGTCGGGCCCTGCTACTTCTGTCCAGCATAGGGATGTCCACGTGTTGGCCAAGCCGGCTGAACCAGCTTCGCCCGAGCCGGGCTCTGCCGCGGGGGCTGAGCCGGCGTCCCCACGTGCGTTGGTCGAGCCGGCGTCCATGCCATCCTCGTCAGGCCGGTCGCCTGGTGCGACTGGATCTGCGTCTGGGGAGCGGTGTGCCTCCTTGTTGCCATCTTCATCGACTCTGTCTCCGCCGCCACCTCCGCCGCCGACTGCTATTCTGCGTCCTCATACACACAGTCATTATGGTATTGTTCGGCTGAAGGAGTGCACTGACGGCATGGTTGCATGGATTGCGGCGATATGGCACAAACAGATGTTGACCCCACTGCTCAGCCTCGGCTTTTTCAGGCAGCTCTTCGGATTCCTCATTGGCGCAGTGCCATTGAGCAGGAGTTTCAGGCACTACAGAGGAACGATACTTGGCGCTTGGTTCCTCCTGTGTCTGGTGTCAACATCATTGACTCCAAGTGGGTGTTTAAGGTAAAGAAGCATGATGATGGTTCTATTGAGCGATACAAGGCATGGTTGGTGACCAAAGGGTTTTAACAACGTTATGGTCTTGATTATGAGGATACCTTCAGTCCAGTTATCAAACCTACCACCATTCTTCTGCTTCTGTCCTTGGCTGTTGCCAAAGGGTGGTCTCTGCATCAACTTGATGTTCATAATGCTTTTCTTCATGGGGTCTTGGAGGAAGACGTTTACATGCGTCGACATCATTTGTGTCATCTTGTTAAGGTGCTTTATGGACTTAAGCGGGCTCCTCGTGCATGGCATGCCCGACTTGGCTCTTTGACGTCTTGGGTTTGTTCCTTCCATTGCTGACACGTCTCTCTTCATGTTCCATCGTCCCGAGGTTACTATGTACCTGCTGGTTTATGTCGATTACATTATTCTTATTAGATCCTCAGTGACTATCGCTGATTGTCTGATGTCGGCTTTGGGTGGTCATTTTGTTGTCAAAGATCTGGGTGCTCTCCATTACTTCCTTGGTCTGGAGGTTCCATGGTCCCCTGCTGGCCCGACTCTCCCTCAACATAGGTATTCCTTGGACTTGCTATGACATGTTGGTATGTTGCAGTGCAAGCATGCTACCACCCCTATGTCAGCGACTGATTGGTTATCAGCCTTGGATGGTGCATTGCTTCCTTCAGATGATGCTACAGAGTACCACAGTATTGTTGATGGCTTGCAGTACTTGACTATCACACGACCAGACATCTCCTATGCAGTAAATCGTGTGTGCCAGTATCTTCATGCTCCTCGGACTTCACACTGGTCAGCTGTGAAGCGCATCCTACGTTATCTCTCTAATACTGTCCCCTATGGCTTGCATCTTCGGTCTATCTCCTCGAGTGCTCTCTTGGCGTTCTCTGATGCAGATTGGGCTGGGAGCCTGGATGACCGGCGATCAATGGGTGGCTATGTTGTCTTCTTTGGTTGCAACTTGATCGCCTGGAGTGCGCGCAAGCAGGCCATGGTATCTCGGAGTAGTACTGAAGCAGAGTACAAGGCGGTTGTCAATGCCATGGCTGAGCTCATTTGGGTACAGTCTATGTTGAGAGAGTTGGGAGTCTCTCAAGAGCAGCCACCAGTTCTTTGGTGTGATAACATTGGTGCGATGTGTCTTTTATCTAATCCAGTTTTCCATGCTCGTACCAAGCACATCGAAGTTGACTATCACTTTGTGACGGAACGTGTTGCACAGAAGCTTCTTCATATCAAGATCATCTCCTCCAAAGATCAACTTGGTGACATCTTCACAAAGCCTATACCACAGCCTCAGTTTTTAGGTTATAGGCGCAATCTTAACTTGCTCTTTACCTCAGGACATAGTTAAGATTGAGGGATGGTGTTAGACTGTATTTATACCCGGCTTCTATATATGTCTTGTATATTGTATTGTACACTTTGTGTACCCCTTTATATATATGAGATAGCCACACCCGTTACGGGTGTCGTGCAGTTTCCACAATACTACGTTTTACATATTCATCATTTTGATGCAGGTTAATCCTCCTTTTCAAAAAAAGTACATTGTTTTTATTAACGCTCGACCCACCATTTAGTCACACTTTCGAAGTCAGATCCCAGCGAGGCATGGTAGATATCTAATAGAATACGCACCACCACTGTCAAAAAGCAAACGATGGATAGATTCAAGTTCAGAAAGCAAACGATGTGTGCGCTGGCTGCTCGGCTAAAGCGGTCGAGCATTTTTTTTTAATCTTTTTGGCATGGTCCCTTTGGACCTGTGCCTCGCAGCCATCTCCCGGACCCTGATCATCTTCTCCTGCCTCCTTGCCTCCATGGAAGCCCTCTCCTCCTCTGACTCCTTGTTGTGTGCCGATCGTCGCGGCCTGGTTCCAACACGTCTTCTTCGCCTACTCCGACATTTTATCTGTTTTCTCCTGCAATCTGGATGAAGAAGATCGGTACACAAAGTTAATAAGCACGGTGCCAAATTATATATATGCTTGGTTTCCTGTTTGTGTGCACAACTTTCATGTTTTACCATGATTTTGTCACAAAAGAGGTGAGCCTGAGCACATCCCGACGTGATACTCTCAATCTGAATTTTGCAAGCTCGGCCAGTAAGAGAACAGGCTAGGTTCAGATTCAGAGACGAGGCCCCTTGTGTTCCGAGCTTCACGTCAAGTGCTCCCTTGTGCTAGGTGTTCTCCCACGACACGACAGCATCGACGACATCTTCTGCTCTCGGCCCTGAAGAATGACATGTTTCCAGTTGAGAGTTTAGACTGGCCAAACACACATGCATAGAGGAGGATTCATTTATGCAAAGTTCAGTTGAGCTGAGTTTGGCCATCTTTACTTTCAGGAAACGCATGCAAACAAATGTGTGTACACTTGTACAACACAGTTACTTGCCTGTCATCTTTCCTTGGCGCGCATTAGATTAGAAAACTGCAGGCACCTCGCATTATGCTAGAGTATTTGCTAATATAGTATCTCCATCTGAAGCAGGGTGCAGAACGCAGTTCTCTAGCTAGGGATGCTGGGAGTATAAATGACAACCAAACTAAAGATATAGGTTTGGCTAATACATATACGTACCAGCAGGGAGTTGAATCCAGTGAATGATGAATGTTTCGATCTCAGAAATCCAGTGATTATGAACCTTTGGAGTTGCAGCCTAATTGCTAAAAAAGACAGACGAATGATCATGTGAGGCAATAAGAGAGATACTCTTTCATGGGAGAAAAAGTTACTACACATTATCAGACCAAGTCTAGAGTAGGGCGGTTCGGATGTGCGTTGGCTGCTTCCCGAATGGCAGTCTCAACTCTGCTGCTATCCACATATCCGTGTACTACACATCTGATTTTGAGGAGGCTGGGGAGGTTTTCTATTCCGAGATCAAAATCACCGCTGGTACCGAGAAACTCAGTTTCTTCTGGGTCAAATTCTATCTGGAGGTCATCTACCTTGGGCATGGCTCCAGCCGCAAAGGTCAAATTCATCACAGCATGCTGACTATCATAATTAAATATCCTCAAGCATGGGAATCCAACTTCACCACAGACTATGACCCTTTTAACTTCAGGCTCTTCTGTTAATGAGGTATTTCTAATTTCACGGACATCAATTTTCAGAGTCAGACAACGCAGAACAGGTAAGCCTCCAAGGATATAGAAATCTTTCTGCTCAACTCCGACCAGATCAAGGCGTAACTCCTGAAGGTTGACAAGGGAGCCCACCCAATTTGGAACATGAAGAACACTAGAACGCAAGACTTCCAGCTTCTGGAGGCTAAGTGGCATAGGGCACAAAGATTGCCTTACAAATTCAGGACCGTCCCAAACAGTTAGAGAGAGAAGGTTCCCTAGGTTTTTAAGGGAAGCGACAATAATAGCTTTCTTGGACACATTTTCAACGTTCACTCGGTTAGCACAATTATAATCCTCAAAATCAAGGGCCAATACCTTCAGACTCTGCAGCTGCTCAAATTCTCGCAGGAAGTTAAATGACTGGCTATAGACACTGAAAAGCCTCAATTTCTCTAGTGCTTGTAGCTTAGAAATTCCACAAGGAAGTGTAACATTCTGGGTTACCAATAGGTGCACCAGTCTCTTGAGATTGACAATAGATGCTGGTAACTCACAAACAGAGGTGAATCTTAAATTCAGTATCTGTAAGCACAATAGGAGCCCGATTTGTTCTGGAAGCTTGTTTACTTTCTTTGCCCCTAGGAGGCTCAGGTACCTCAGCTGAAACAACATCCCTATATTTTCAAGATGATGGTTCTCCAGTTGGTCGCAATATTCAAAGTCCAGAAAACGCAAATGCCTGAACTTATCAATAGAAGGGATTTTCACAGATTCTCCAAACACATCAAGTGATCGGACATGAGACAACACCCAGCCTTCTGGCACTATCAATTCTTTTTGCTTGCCGGCTTGTAGGGACAGCCGACGAACTTTGCCTTGTGTACCAACAGTTAAACTAAGAACACCTACCAAAGTAACAAAGTTTTCTTCGATGGATTTGGATATGATGAAATCAAGAATTGTGTCATGAAGTCGACAACTTTTGACCCTATCAAATTTGTCTGTCATCGCGGGTTGGATCAAACTCCTATTGATAAGCTCATTAAAACACCTTTCACCAAGCTCATGTGTTGTACTATATCCGGCTTCTGTATGAATTATTCTTTCAGCAATCCACCTATGTATCAAAACCTTCTTCTTAATAATAGAATCTTCAGGGAATATACTCAAACATAAGAGACAAGATTTTAGATGAGCAGGCAGTTCAAAGTAACTAAGTGACAATATCTTCATCATTCCTTCAACACTGGGATTTCTTTCAAGTGCTCGACCAATCGAATCTTCAACTTGTTTCCATGGACCCTCTGTCCTTTCAGTATTAGCTAACAAACCAGATATAGCAATGATTGCCAGAGGCAACCCCGCACATTTTTTCAAAATATGTTCAGAAACTTTTTTAAGGTATGATGGGCATTTTTCTTCGGAGTTGAATAATCTTGTGTAAAATAATTGCCTAGAGTCCACCATATCAAGAGGCCTTATGCAATAAATAACTCCACTAAATGGTGTTGAACAACATGATTTAGCAACATCATTTATACGAGTAGTGGTGATTATGATACTGCCAGAACTAGCCACGGGAAGTGCAAGCTTAAGAACATGCCATGTATCCACGTCCCATATATCGTCAAGAACAACAAAATACCTGCACGCAGATGCATGGTTGATATTAGTGTGGTAATGATATAAATTGTGTGCAACAAGATAGACAAATACATAAAACTATAAACATGTTCAAAGTGGCAGCAGCTGGTATCAACACCAATCCTTGTAGATTTATAGCCAACTGCAGCACGAGATCCAAAAGACTTTTGGAGTGTGGTAGGATAGATATTTATGGGGTAGTATGTGTTTATAGCTAACTATTATATTTTGGGTTATTAGACTAACCACAGATGACATGCTAATGAAATATAGCCAACAATTGGCTCTATTATTATCCTTGCTCATAGTACATATGATGAGATTGATTATTAGTGTTATATTTGCCTTGGAACACATGTAGAGGTAGGCTCTTGCAGGAGAGCCCACTCTCATGCATATAGACAATATTATCGTGTAAGTGGACTATAAGCCCCCTATTATAGTTGCTCTAAGGCTACGTCGGATGCTCAATGATAGGAGTAGCTATGTCCTAAAGATGCTATGAGACCAAAAGGTAAACAAAAAGGACATAAATCATGGGTGAACGTTTGTAAGATGTGTGGTTTTTGGTACTATCTCATTTTTATTTACTTGGCATCAACATGAACTTGACAACAGACATTTGACCATTGCTTCTTGTACCACCTGATGAAATACAAAATGGCCATAAAAATGGACGAAACTATTTTTATTATGTAAAAAATACAAGATGGTTTTGATGTGAAATATCTAGATAAATTTATTAACTATATACTTAAGGATGAGAAGTCAAAATAAAAATTGTACCTTTTGTCTACTAGGAAATCAGTGATCTTAATGATGAGTTGTTGTATACTTCCTGCTTCGGTGTCAGCGTAGCGTTGGCCACTAACTTCACTAAGAATAGTCCTTAGGATATTCATCATGTCTGGATTCCTTGAAATGGATAAGAAGGCTCGACATTTAAATTTTCCTTTGAGATCTTGATACACTTGGTTTGCAAGAGTTGTCTTTCCCATTCCTCCAGATCCAACAATGGATACCAAGTTCATTTTCTCTTGTGTTGATGCACCTTGGGTCAACAATTTAATTATCTCAGCCTTGGGTTCATCGATTCCGACAAGCTCGGAGGCATGCTGAAAGATAGCAAGAGCTCTAGGGTCAACAGTTGTATTCTTGGCCTTGGAGAAGACCTCACGAGCCTTGTACCTTTCATTCCTCTCCGCCACCTCTATGATCTGTTTCTTCAGATCATGGATCTCATTTCCGATGCGATGACGAGCCTTCATCTTCCCCAACGAGTTCTTCATCTTTTCCAAGAAACCATCTGGCTTTGAATCTTCATTGCCCACACTCTGCATGAAGTCATCGATGGAGTCCTCCATGTCATAAGAGAGTTCCCGCACCTCATTCATCCACACCTTATCATGAACATCAGGGTCCTCTTCCTCTGACATCTTCAGAAGAAATGCTTCCATGGCAGTTAGTTCACGGGTGAGGGACTTGATATCACCACGTACACCCTTGAACCTCTTGTACTTATCGCCCACCAGAGCGCCTAGCTTCTCCAGGACTGGTTTCAAGGCTCCCGTCGCTGCACTCACCAGAGCCGCCTCCATGGTTGCGAGTGGTGCTGCTACCTGAGACGTACGGTTTCTCAGTTAGTTTTGTGTATATGAAAGGGAAAACAGAGTACAGCTAGACTGAATGATGGCTCTGTCCCGGCTTACAGCTTAGCGAAGCTAGGATAGCTTTTTTGCAGGGAAAATCTAGCATAGTTACAACGCTAAGATAGCCATAATTACAGAAATTTTGCGTCAGCCGCTCAACTTGCACAGCTAAAGATAAGTTCTTTTTCTTATCCCGAAATTGGTAATTAAGCTAAGATGCTGGTTGCTAGCTTAGCTACCAAGTGAGATGTTAAACTGTTCTTCCTGCAGGACTCCAGGAGCTAGATCTACGTTTGAAGCTAGATCTGCTCGCCACAAGCTCTCTTCATCTGAAAAGAGGAGGTAAAAAAATGGAATCACCTCTATAGCAAACGCTTAATCATGCTGCCGCATCAGGAGATGCCAACTGAAGCAAGGTACTAGCTAGCAAGATGTGGCTTGAAGAACTAACCTGGAGATGCCCTCCCTTGCTCTCTCCTGGCTGGCTTCAGTTCACGGGAACGATTCCGAGGATCCCTATCCAGCTCTCAGCAGTTGGTTGTTCTTTCCTTTGAGATAGAAGAAGGTTGACTCTGGTCTCCGCCTGCGTCGTCGTCGTCTGCCTCTTGGAAGATCTTTTCTTCTTCTGATTGAGAGAGAGAGAGAGAGCGGGCGCGTTGCCTCTTGGAACGCATCTTCGGCAGGCCACTTGAAGGCCAATAATTGAATGATACTATACTCCGTTACGCTGACACCGAAGTGGCCAACGTTAGAGTACAGTAGTAGTACAGTAGTAGTACAGTGGCAGATGAGTACGAGACGACAACTTTAAACACCGATGGGACGGAACAGCACCGCCGCAGTCTCTCCTCTCCTCTCGCAGGAGAGAGAGAGAGAAGAGGGATGCGTGGCCACGGCTTGGGTGGACCAGGCGCAGGTGGTCTGCGCCCATGCCAGGCCGGACGGAGCAGAGCATCGAGTACCATACCATACGCCAGGTGTATCTACCGATCGCCCACCGGGACAGAGCAGCAGCGGTCGTGGGACAAACTTGGCAGAGCCTCGGGTTTCTTTTCGAAAATATTAGATTTATTATAAAGAGTCACCGAAATTAGAAAGCATCATAAATACTAAAAATTACAACAAGGTCCATGGGCAACCAAACAACCATTGCTGCCACCCCAACGAGCCGCTGACGCGCCACCCATACCAGACCTACTCCGATCTTGTCGATAACAGTCGGGAAGTCTTTGTGCACATGCCCCTAAGAACCGCGTTCAGGAGCCGCAGTTGTCTCCATTGAATCCTTGAATCGATCTGAAGAACCTGACATCAAGTCTCCCCGTTGCGTATGCACGACGAGAAACCCTAACCTCGCCGCTCCGAAGAGCTGGCAGGAATCTACGCCGGAGTTCCGTCTAATCCGTCCTGACGAACGACCTTGAGGAGGATCGGAGTCCGAAAGACTGACTCGAAGAAGATGCGCCGCGCTTGCGAGAATCAAAACCCTACCTATCTAAGCCGAGGCACCAAGAATACCCGCCCGTCACCAGCCGCCAGAGTGGCAGGCAAAGCTGAGGTAAATTCATGGACTCGCCGACGGAGATCGAAGTGAGAAGGCTTTTTCTTTTTTCTTTTCTTTTTACGAAATGAAGAAGAAGGCTTTTTCTAGTCGCATTGCGAGAGGGAAAAGAAAAAACCTGCAGGCCACTAGCTTGGGGTAGATGAGGATTTTTGCAAAGCCTCGGTTTTCAGCCGTGTGGAGCCGATCACTCTTTTTTTTCTTTTTCTTTTCTAACTTGTATTTATGAGTATTTTACTTTCAGCGGCCGATTTCAGACAGGCCCTAATCTTTTTTGTTTTGGTTAATTGAGGGGGAAAAGTGCCACGCGCCCGGGCCCCCACGGTTCGAATCAGGGGAAAAGAAAAGATTAGGATCGAGCGCTCTAGCGGTCGGTCGCTTAGGAAGTAAAACCGTCCGTAGCCGTGGACCTGGACCTGTGGTAAGAAAGAAGAAACTAAAGTGAGAACAGTAACGTAAAAAAGGAACGAGCACGAGATAGTGAGTAAAACAGTGGTCAATTTGTTTTTTTTTTGTTTTTTTAGGGGGAATGCCTATTCAGCGCACTTTATTTCGAAGCCAACAAAATTACATCATGAATCAAAAATGTAAGTAAGAAATTAGAAGGGACATCGTCCCAAAAAATAAAAGACTTCAACTCATACGAATGTTTTGCTAGCGCAGCTAAATTTGCATCCCGCTTGCAATGCTGAAAGGAGATTCCAGCAATGTCACTAGTACAAAAAAGGGTCAAATGTGAAGCACATTAGTGTCGATTTGATTTTGAGCCGGCACTAATGTGTTCATTAGTGCCGATTCCAATGGCTAGCCGGTCGCTCTCATTAGTACCGGTTCGTGGCGAACCTTTAGCACCGGTTCGTGCCACGAATCGGTACTAAAGAGTTTGGTGGCAGGATGTTGTCAGTCTGGGGCCCCTCCAGCACCTTTAGTACCGGTTTGTGTTATGAACCGGTACTAAAGGTCGTCATACATAAACCCTTCGTCCATCCGAGCTCGCTCTGTTCTTTCCCTTTCCCCTCTCCTCCTCTATTCTTTCCCTCTCTTCCTCGAGCTCATCATACATTTTGCCTAAAAATTGTCAAGATTTGAAGGCCCCCATCCATTCAAATGATCACAAAGGTTAGCAACTTTGTCCTTTCATCTTTCATTGCTAGATTAGCTCTTGCAATGTTTTGTATAGTGATTAATTTGTGAGTAGTAATTTGGGAGGAATTATATGTGCTAGTATTTGATTTATAGGCAATTTGAGGTCAAAAATAACACTTAGTTTGCATATGTAGGTGTGATTTACTTAATGCCTTCTAAATCTCCGTCATAACCACCGTCGATCGCCCGCACCGTCCCGTCGCCGGCACCACCTTGTGGTGAGGCTCTTGTTCGTGAATGTTTTACATTACCAAATTGATGTTTGTGTGATTTGGATATATAGTTACTCGTATAATTATCTTACCCGTACGTTGTTTGTTATACATAGTGCCATGGTTTTGATATCCGTCCCCGTCGGCCCTCGTCCTTGTTATGATTCGGATGTGGTATGTTCTCTTTAAAACTAGTTGTTGCATTTCGTGTTTATGACAAATTATGCCCATCAAGTTGACATAGATATTTCTCTCTAGGAGGTGTATGAACCGGAAATTCTAACCGACCCTATTGTCGAGAGGTTAAATTTAGTTGAAAGAAAAAACAAGTATTTGAAAGAAAAATTGAAAAGAATTGAGGGGGAGAAGATGGAATTGGAGTTGCATGTTGCCGATGTCGTCGATGATCACAAGATCAAGATGGAGAAAATGCGCTTGAAGATTAGAAAGATTAAAAAATATGCATTAATCAATTCCAAACAGTCTGATTCCACCATCACTCCCGAGCATCCTAGTCTTTCCAGTAGCTCAAATCCTTTGAGCATGGCTAAAGACTTCGCCGATCCAGCATCCAACACATGGTATATAGGTTCAGCAGCACCCGCAATCGCTTCACCGAAATATTTGCATAAGACAACCCCCACAGCTCCCGTACCATCATCATGAAAAGCCGCATCTATGTTTTGTTTATATGATCCTGGGTTAGGTCTAGTCCACATGATTTCATGTGGAACACTTGTTACCGATGCCGCATTGAAATTTGACGTAAGCGCCTAGATTGCAAATGTTGTGCGCGTTGGGGCAGACACCTGTTCTCCTTTCACCATTTCTCGACGTTGGTACCAGATATACCAACAAGCCACGGCAATTGATTCCTGAAGTCCGAGCCCACCGAGAACCGGTGATTTCTTCACCTGACTGCAAACAGATCCGAAGTGGTCAGAGGGCACTGCATGTTTAATGGTATCATCCAGCCCTAATGCCTGCCATACCTGGCGAGACCGAGTGCATGCGAAGAGTTGATGTTGTTTGTCTTCCAAGCCTGAAGAACAAATAGGGCACTGGCCAGAAACCGGAATGTCTCGCGAGGCGAGAACCCCATAGCACGTGACAGAACCATGCAATGCTTTCCATATGAATATTTCGATTTTATTTGGGATCTTCAGCTTCCAAACAATATCCCATACTGGGTTCACCGTGGACGATCCCTGTCCATCCTCTCTTCGCACTCGAGCTCCAAACTGATGATCCCATTCTGTATAATACGCAGACCGGACAGAAATAAGCTCGTCCTTGTCATATTCCATGCTACAAAATCTTCTGTTAAAAACTCGCTCAAGGGAATCCTCAGAATATTTTCAACATCCACTAGAAAAAACACATCTTTTATCATCTCCTCATCCCAAGCTCCGGTGTTCAGGTTGATCAGTTCATCCACTGTTCGCAGAAGTATATTTCCTCTTCTAGTCTGAATCTTTCTATTATGAGAATTTGACATCCAATGG